AAAAATTGAAACAATTGTATTCCTCTCAGGTCTCACAAGATCGTGACGGACGGCATTATAAAAGCCCAAGTCCATTTAACCTCAGTTCAGGGGTCCTGCACTATCACGTTTTGGCCTTATTTGCAACTAACTCTTGTGATTAATCTTATAAGCACTTGTTGGCCTAACTTTTATTCTAATTCGAAAATAATTTTATAATATCAAGAATCACGTATTATAATTGTGAACCACATGACAAATATCAACTCCAATTTTTACTTCAATTTATCTTATATTTTTTGCTTCCAACTAGTATGACTCTTGGAGGCTTACTCACATAAATTATGAGAGTATAATCAGTTAAATAAATAAAAATAAAAGCTGTGTTAGAAGAATTCATTGGTGATTTAACTTTTACTCTTTAGTGAAAATTTGGTTAGGGATGCCTTGGAGTGAAGACCATTATATTTTGCAATAAAGATCTCCGCTAATCGTTTTTCTCCCTAGACTAAACCGTGTCGAGCTTCAGTTTCTCAAGTAAGAATGATCATTAGAGTGATAAATCATAATTTACGAAGCTCACCAATATACTAAGCCAAGAAAAATGCTAGCTGGTTATAAACTTAAGCATTTCTTATATTTAATTTGGCTGGCACTACGAGGCCACTTACTGCATGCTTATACTGCTTGCTAGCAGTTGATTGAAGTTAGTTTATGAAAATGGAATTAAGATGGCTAGAGATCTTTCCTTACATAACTAAATTAATGTTTAGTCCGCTAATATAATATATATAAGAAAGAGCATTCGATCTATTTAAAAAAGAGTAGATGAATACAAATCCACCCGTAAATTTATATTGCTTATATTGTACATGTAATTGAATGTTTTTAATCATTGCATTATACACAAGATTGGAACGTCTTATTTAAATGTAAGCTCAGCGAGTCCGTAAATATAAACAAAGTAACCAAAAGTGTTGCTTCAAACTTGTTTTCGCAACTAGATCGGAGCGTTAAGGATACCCTTGGGAATGTACCTAGCCCCGTGTTCTCCATCCTGATATTCGTAATTTCGAGCATCGGACAATTGACTTGGTAGATTCCCAAAATTTGAACCATCATCGTAGTCGTCATCTTCAGAATAATGTTACATCTTATAAAACTTGCCACTTTCATAAGTTGAAAACACTGTGTCTACGAAGGCGCCTCTCACTGGCGATTCTGACTACGATGCCAGCAGAACGTTCAGCTATGTTACAAGTTAATGGTCCAATTTTGGAAATTACGAGTACTATGGCAGAGGACACGGGACTTGGTACATTCCACAAAATCCGTTCATAGGATAACTTATTAACGTTTGCAAATATTTGTAAAAGAAGCGTTTCGATTTACAGAAGGTTATCTTTTCGATCTTGCTGCCATTTTCTATAAAGTTCGGTTTTCTCACTTTGACCATACTTATAAAATAGAGGGAATCCCAGAACGAGTTTATTAAGGCTGCAGAAAGTTGAGACGAGGACTTCTTCGCACAATCCAACAAACTTCCTGCCAAGACAATCCTTCCTTGGATTCCGGTGATATCACTATACAATTTTGTCTTACCAACCTTTACATAAAAACTAAAGGTTAACTTACACAAATAAATCTATATTTTGTTCTTGCCTCACCCAATGAATTTGTAATCACTCTTACTAAATTCAATTAACCCTGAATCTTTAAGACAGCTTCTCATTTAGACTTCGAAGTCTTACTTTAAATTATAATATATAAATGGTATTTTAGGTCTAACTATTTTCGAAAATCGGGTTTATTTTATCTTAAGTGGGCCTCAAATTAGCTAACTTATTTAGATATTTGTTATCTGTTTCTTCTTTAGATAATTTCTCATATCAGCAAATTTGGGGGTGAATAAAATATTCGAGGTCCTTCTGAACCTATTCTTCATGAGATGTTTGCCTTATATAGTAAGATAGGTAGATAGTATCTGAAATTTTGATTTAGAATTATTGGATATTCAGCCGCTAAACTCATGGACATAATATATGTGTAAATTATTGATCCCGGCTTCGAATAAAAACCACTATTGATATCTAACTCTTCTATAAATAAATGAAAGCTAATATACCTAAATGCTGGATTACTATAAAAGCTATGAACCTAATGAAGGTTTTAAAAACAATTCATATCGACTATAAAACTAGTATATGCGAAGAAATGTTGAGTTTAGAGGATCCTTTGCTTCATTAATAGTGGGCTTACTTCCATTTGCAGTAAAAGTATGTGGTGAAGAGATTCGTATGTCGATTTCACCAGAAGACGACGGCGGATTCCTCTTAACAAGCTGTCGCCTGACTTTACTGGAACATTCTTGTTGACGCTTTTTCTGAGGTAATCTACTTCGATTCAGATGAAAACGTGCTAAGCTTTTTCTGTCATATGACGAACATTATCAGAGTAGGGTATCATCCTTATAAACATATTATACACTAATAAGTCAAGTAAGGATAATACCCTGCTCGGATGATATCCGTCATATGACGGATGAAAGCTTAGCACGTTTTCCTCAAAATCGAAGGAGATTACTTCTGAAATATCGTCAATAAGAATGCTCCAGAAAGGCTAATTGACAGCTGGTTAAGAGAAATGCGCCGTTGTCTTTTGGTAGGATCAAACTTCGAATCTCTTAGCCAAGCATTTTCACTTTAAATCGAAGTAAGCCCAACTATCATAAAAACTGATATGAAATATTGTTCATATTTGGGCACAATTGTCAATAAAATTGAAGATCGAGACATAATACAGGAGTCAAGACAAGTATGCTATTTGATCTTAAAAGTGGATTATCCTGATTTTGCTGTGATGCACCGCCCTTTACCAGCAGAATTGCATTCTGATCAGGGATCCAAAAATCCCATAGCCTCCGATAATATCATCAAATTTCATTAAAACATCAATATGTGCTTTCAAGACTGAAGTAGCTAAAATGATGTTTACCAATGACTTATAAAAACAGAACTAAATTTGAGGGGGGGAATGGGAATTAACTATATAATACAAAGTAAATCTATGTAAAAGCTAAATGATGCACAACATGCGGCCAGAACACTCAATGAAACATTATAGCTAAGTAAGCCAAAAGCGATTTCATTCGCTAAAATAGTGGACGCATAAAAAATTGAATATAGTCAGGTTATTTATTTATACTTTACCGAAGATTATTAATCACATGCAACTTTAGGAGCACTCTTGGCACGCATTTTATAAGTTTGAATAGTTAGGAGTAATTAGGCATCAAGTTAAAATGAAAATGAATTAAAAATGCGTCTTGAAGGTTTACATTCCAAAATATTTTGGTAAGAAAGCTCGTGATTTTGGTTGAAAGACTCGAAAGCAGTGTTGTAAGGACTACATAGCCCGGTATAATTTTTTAATACAAATTTTATTTTTCCATTTTATTTTTAGCAAAGCTATACATTAATATTTGGTTTCAAAATATCTTTAGTTTCATACATCGGCAAGATAATTATTAAATACATCATATGTAGCTTTTGTCAGCTGTTTGGCGGCTTCCACTCCTGTTTCTACCCCCTGCGTCCGCCTATCTCTACCCAACTGCCTATTTTCCTCCTATTTTCGTGTTTAGGCCAAAAATTATGATGACAACTAATGCCTTATTCATGACGAGTAATCATGTCAATGGATTATCGATTTCATCAACGCCTGAAACTGGAGAGCCTGTTCCAGTCACTCAAAAAGCCTACCACTTAGTTGATTACTCTAATAGAGAGGAAGAAATGATAAGGCTTATAGGCCAATATTTATGCGACAAGGGATTTAAGTAAAATATACATTTTTTAATGATATCGTATAGAGCGTCTTATCAACAGCTTTCCAAAGAATCCGGCATTGTTTTGGAGCATAAGTCATCCACTGACCTTAGGCACTCGATATTAGATGGGAAATGGGAGGAAGTAAGGTTTTTAGATAATTAATATATATTTTTATATCTTGTGGTTACAAACATCTCTTTATTTTTAGGCTGAGAAGGCATTGGATCAGCTTTCCTTAGTTATCCCGCGTTCACGCAATCTAGACGAAGTTCGTTTTCTTATCCTGGAACAAAGATTCTTAGAGCATTTGGAGGCTAATGAGGTCATGCCCGCGGTCACGCTTCTACGAAATAGGATCACGCCCATGCAAAGGAATCGTGAAAGAGTTCATACATTGGCTAGGTGGGTGGGCATTTAATCAATATCTACAATAGTTTTGGCAGCAGTTAATTATATAGTATATTTAAAATTTGAGGCTTATTTATTTTGAGAGTATCAAAAATTTACGAGAGTCAATTTATCTCGGATCTTTGCTCCGTATATACACTTTTGTTTGTGCATTTACTCTTTCTGATTTTTTATTTGGTGTTTTACTTTCAGCGATATTCACATTAATATTCCCACAAACTCTTTTGCGGGTGGCCCTAAATTTTGTCTACCTATTTAATACTCTTTCAGGTGTGCCAAATTTTCCTATGAACTTGATTAATTAATTCGTTCCTAATTTATTTATTTATTGCGGCTTCTGTACATTACTTTTCCATATAATGCCTAAACTATTGCGCATTTTGGTGTAATTAACTCAGTGCAGTTAATATGACATTTTTCAGATTGATACTTATGAAGCCAAATCTAATATTGCTCATTACTGATTTTCCCAGTCAATTATGGGACCTGGCAGTCTAATTTACATATATATTACTCAGCGGAAAACACCTTTCGCTAAGACCTCACGACCTACGGTCTCCCAATCCCTTTTATTTATAATGAAATACCTTGCTTAGATAAATTTTTTCCGGAGCACTTGAACATTGTATCTCGTTCAATTGGTTGACTTTCATGAGGAACTTTCATCAAAAAACAAATTTTATCCGTCTGGCATACTTCTCATACCTACATTTTTATCCGTGTTTCC